GTCTGCACGGAGCATGTGACCAGCTTGCACCTCGGATACAACTCTGCATTCCCAGAGCCACCAGGCCACTTCGTGGACCCAGCGTGTCTGTGACTTAGTAATCATAGTAGCAGCGATAATACACTTTTCCCCATTTGCTTGCAAGGAAACACACACCTATCTTTCTAAGTTTCTTTTTTTTTTTTTAAGAAAATAAAATAGTCACCTTTTACTACTAAAAAAAAAAATACCATTCTCATTATAGGAAGGTCAACTTGAGAAAACAAAGAATCAGAAGATTTAAACTATACAATCAGCCAAGTTGACCTTGTGGTTGTAATCGGGGTACTGCACTCAACTAAAAATTAATATACTTTCTTCTCAAGTGCACATGGTACAATCACCATAATTTATTGTATATTAAGACACAAAGCAAGCCTCAACAAATTAAAAACCATTTCAATAATACAAACTATCTTCTTAGATCATGACTCCATAAAAGTAGAACAGAGACTAAAGCTTATACAACTACCCATGTGGAAGCAAGCTAACATACTGCTAGAACACAATTCTGTTATAAGAAAAAAACCCTGAAATTAAAAAGTTCTTAGAAACAAATGATAGTGAAAATACGACACACAAAAACATCTGGGATACAGCTATCCTCAGGGGATAGCTCATAGCAATAGGCAACACATAAAAAATAGAAGAAAAAAGTTACCTAATTCAAAACCTTCAACAAATAGGAAAAGAATAACAATCTAACTCCACAGCCATTAGAAGAAAGGAAATTATAAGGATTAGAGCTGAAATTAATGAAATAGAAAACAGAAAAGCCACTGAATAAGACCAAGAGCTGGTTCTTTGAAAGGGTCAGTAAAATTGACAAACCACTGGCAACCCGAACAAAAGAATAAGAATGAGAAGACACAAATAACTCCAATAATAATGGATAGAGATGACATAATAATAGATCCAGAAGAAAATACATAATATCAGAATATTATGAAAAGCTGTTAGGATTGGAGGAAGGCTCATCAACAATTTGTTTTATGCAGATGACACAACCCTGCTTGCTTGCAACTGAGGAGGATCTAAAGCACTTGCTGCAGAAGGTCAAGGATTATAGACTTAAATATTGAAGCTCAAAGTCAAGAAAAAAAAGATTCTCACCACTGGGCCTGTTAACAGCATCATGATAGATGGTTTAGAGATTGAGATTGTTAACAGCTTTGGTTTGCTTGGCTCCACAATCAACACTCTCAGTACCAGCAGCCAGGAAATTAAAAGATGAATTGCACTGAGAAAGTCTGCTGTTAGAGACCTCTCCAAAGTACTGAAGTACTTTGTCAGTCTGGAGACTAAGGTGTGCCTGATCCAGGCCATAGTCATTGCTAGTACTTGCTATGCATCAGAAAGCTGTACAATTACTAGGGATGATAGAAGGAGAATTGATGCCTTTGAGCTGTGGTGCTGGAGAAGAGTATTGAATATACCTTGAGCAGTTAGGAGAACAAACAGGTTTGTCCTAGAGAGAGTGAGACCAGGCTGCTCTTTGGAGGAAAGGATTCTGAAGCTTCGTCTGATATACTCTGAACATGTTGCAAGCAGGGATCAGTCCTTGGAGAGGGTCATCCTGCTTCAGAGGGTGGAAGGACAGGGCAAGAGAGGAAGACCCTTGACAAGATGGATTGATTCAGTGACTGGGATAATGGAGGAAGGTGTGTCAGAGACAATAAGATTGGCACAGGATAGAGCAGGGTTTAGGGCTGCTGTACATAGGGTTGCTATTAGTCACAGGAGACTCACGGCGCATAACAACAAACAATACCAAAAGAAACTGAAAACTTGAGGGAAATCAACAAATCCTTTTAACTCATAATACCCTACCCAGATTGACATGGACACATATAGAAAACTTGAACAGAATCATGACAAAAGAAGAAATTAATCAAGTCAATAAAAAAGAC